TCACTGAGCTAAAATCTGATGTGAGAGTAGCTGAAAGTAAGCCACAACACACTCTGTTGTTGTTGTTCTTCAAGGTTTGATAAAATGGCTACAACTCTGTTTGTTATCAACATAATATGATCTTAGTCTAAAGCTCTGAAAGACAWTAATACTTTAATTAACCCAGAGTTTCCAGTACTTCCTGCTATCACACTGAGCGAGTAACACATCTCTTCTGTTGCAGCTGTGAAGTTTGGTCGCATGTCAAAAAAGCAGCGTGACAGCCTGTACGCAGAGGTCCAGAAACACCAGAAGTCCCAGGAGCGCGCCCTGGTCAGCGCCCGCGAGGACAAAGTAGACGTGACCGACCACAACTGCGCGTACAGGAGAGGCTCCGGCGTGGCCCTCAGTGACCTGGACGACATCACCACGCTGCCAGAAGGCCTGCTCTACGATCTGTCGCTGACCCCGGAGGACACCGGTGGAGAGTACTGTAACCTGGACATGCTGGGCGGAAGCGCAGGCAGCAGCTCRTCTTCTCAGAGCTCACCAGAGCAGAGCAGCTTGGACTTTGCCGATGGCAACACCGGCATCAAACATGAGTACCAACTATTGCACGATTCTGGACTCTTCTCACATGCGATCATCAACCCAGTGCCAGAGGGCTGCTCCCAGCTGGATATAGGTCAGTAATAACTCTCCGTTGACTGGAAGACATGGTTTTCAACTCTAAATGTGCTCTAATGCAAGTTAAACACACAGATAAAAYAAACTGTATCTCCGTTTAGAGCGTATAAGCCAGAGTGTGGTAAAGGGCCACATTGAGACGTGTCAGTACAGCACAGAGGAGCTGAAGAGAATGGCTTGGAGCTTGTACACTGCAGAGGAAACACGCGCCTACCAGACCAAGGTAAGCTCTGTTCAAGTAACACGACAACACAACCGATTCTACATGTTTCATTAACAAACAAGTTTGGAAGGAGCATCGTGCATTGGATTAAATTCTTGACATACAACTAAAGTGTGATCCAAACGTCAAAAGGCAACTCTACAATAAAAAAAAATCTAAAATAAAGCCTGTAAGAGCTCTACAGTAGATCATGCCCGGGACATCCTTTGCACTTAAGCTGATGAAGGACTTCAGTTTCATTTTTAGTTAATCGAGGTGACATCACTTGAAAATCAAAAACTTATCACACATACCTACCTGCATCTTCTATGGTTTTCTGAGTGGATGCCCTTAGGATGAGCTGTCACCCAGGAATTCAGTTAAATTTCCTTAAACATAAATCAAGAAAAATGCAACACAACTAGTCTACGGGAAAATGTTTGCCTCACAAGACCTTTCTGTCTGCTTCTTCCTCCTCCAGTCAGCTGAGGTGATGTGGCAGCAGTGTGCCTTGCACATCACCAACGCAATCCAGTACATCGTGGAGTTCGCAAAGCGCATCTCTGGCTTCATGGACCTCTGTCAGAATGATCAGATTATCCTCCTCAAAGCAGGTCAGTGTTTGACACCCATCTCCAGGCCCTGCAGGCTCCAATCAGTTCTGCACAAACAACACTGTGTGTTAGACACTGTTCAGACTAAGCTGTGACAAAAATACTTGGCATGTTAGTTGTCAGCRGTGGATCTCTTTCTAGACTTTTGGCGTCACATGCTTGTAGAGTGACTTAAAAAGGTGCATGGTTGTTTTTCCTTTGAAAAATGGCCTCTCTGTTTTAATAGAAAAAGAACCAATGGATCCATTCACCAAAGGAACCTCGTGTTACAGGAACTACCCCCCCTTCCTCAGACTACTAAAATTTTTGTCTGTATTTTTACATACAGGCTTTAATAACCTAAAACATCCCATGGATGTGTTCCTGTGGTCCATTCCAATCTGTTGTTATATGTGTGTGTGATAGATTTTTGTTTTTCTCTTAGTTTTATTTACATACCGCTTCCTTTGCTTTACATCAGGGGTCTCCAACCAGTAGCTCCTGAGCTATCGGTAAGCTCCTGAGCTCATTTAAAGTAGCTCTTCAGTGTTTATGAAAAATTAGGATGAGCAAAATTTATTTTTCATTGGCCAAACAAACTTTCTTTTAATTCCAATCAATCTATAGATGTCCCTTCCACTTGGTTGTCAATCAAACAGTTTAGAGCTCAGTATGGTTGTTCGGCGTTTGTTTTKACACACATMTTTCATAGCCCCTTGAGACACACTGTACCAAACTCCTGGGAAACCCCTCCCACTGTGGTATATGTCACTACATGGGGTTTCTTCCAGCTGGAGTCTACAATGTAGAAAAGACATCGGAGACCCATCACCCAACGTTAATTGTGCACAAATCTGTTGCAGTTAAACCCTAAATTATTAGTGTGAAATACAAAAAAATATGAATGGATAAAACACAAAAAGCACATTCATGTAAATTCTGTGTTCTTCGTGGTGATTTCACGTGAATTGAAGACAATGTTTTTTGTGCAAAACAAGCTTATTCCAAYGGTTTAAGTTTAAAATTATACGTTGCAAAAAGTAGCTCTCTGACAATTTCATTTTGTGAAAATAGCTCTTAAGGAAAAAAAAGGTTGGAGACCCCTGCTTTACATCTTAAAGGGAACCCCGACTAGTTGTAACATTAGACATTATTTGCTAAACATTTACTTCAACTATAAAAAAGACTAAAAATACTGGAGGCTGTTCARTTTTTATGAATTAAAAAAAAATATTGTCACAAAGCATACCGGGTGGATGATGATGCTTACTAGGAGTATATATACAGTATATATGTGGCATGGCGGCTCAGTTGGTCGAGCTGTTGTTTCTCAACAAGAAGGCTGCAGAATCAAATAAGGTGTTCTTCTAAAAAGGAATGCAGTGCAGACATTCATAACTGATCTGCCCATGGATCCTGTTCCTTCCTGACTATTGACCAATAGTAGAGGAGCTGACACAAGGGCAGCCCATCTTATTTGCATCATGAGGCAGAAATGCACAAGTTAAAGTAAAAAACAGGAGCGAAAAAATGTAAAAGCCACACACGGAAATAAAAAGACTTGTGAGAATTCAAAGACAAGTGCATCTACAAGTAAAAGGAAAAACAAAAAAACACATTTTAAAAACATTAAAATTTCAATTGTGTTCAAATTTGTTGGAACCAAGCTTGAAAAATAAATATGAAGATAAATTAATTATAAAACAAGAGGTAAAGTTCTTCATTTTAAACTAGTTGGTGTGTTTTAAGTGTATTTATTTATTTATTGAGCCATTTGTATAGTTCTGCTTTTATTTTCAAATTTGTCACTTTCAGTCCTCCATTCGTTTCACATTACATGTTTAATTACATTAAAAATATATCTGCAAGCACATGTTGCAACAGCTAGCAGTAGCACTGTGGTTCATCCTGGGGGACTTCCTACAGAAAGACTTCAACACTTCTGCAAAAATAATCATATATCACATACACTTGACAGCCCTGTAAAAGTTTACAATAGCACTTTTATGACCCTCTTTATTTTATTTATTTATTTTGAGATTCAAGTTGTTTTAAAATGACAGCAAATCACCTCACACCTTTAATTGCCAATCCAGTCAGATGCCAAATCTGTTCCTGCAAACTCGTGTCGTTTAAGTTAAGATAAGAACTGTTCATAACCTGTTCTCAGAATTCATTCCATAATTTAAGCTGTCTCAGTTGAATTGACACAATGATGCCATTTTCAAAAGATTTTCAGAACAAAAATTTCCTCAAATACCTAGAAAGCAAAATTAAATTTAAAGGCTTCAGAAAGTAGACTTGTGAGATGTTTTTTTTAATTAACATATTACATAAAACCAAAATAATGAGATTATCAGCCAACAGACAATGGTCTGGCTGTAATACAAGGAATTTGTTTGCGATGGTTCTTTCATCAGAACAACACTCTAATTAAGGTGACCACATGATCGCTGCATAACAGTTTTGAAGCTCAGATGTTTCTCCCAACTTTACCCAGCAACATGTGTTGTAAATATTTTTGTCATCAACAGACGTCACACAACCGCGGTGAATATTTTCATAATTGCAGAGAGGTGTGCACATGAAGTATTCAACCAACTACGTGGTAAACAAATGGCTTACAGTTTTAAAGTACTGGTCACACAAAACATCAAGGTGTTCTCAGCCAAATAGAGATTCAATTGTTACACTGGGCTAAAGCTAAAACAAAGTGTCCATCGCAAGGAATGACAAGGTGCACCCTGCTGTTCTCAAACGGCACAATGGATCAGTTGTCCCAGTGTCAACAAAGTTCAGATGGACATGATTTTATGTAGAATAATCTAAACGTGTTGGGTGACCACAGGGCTCAGGTCTTTASCATTGAACATAGAACACATTGAACACAGTACAATTACCGTAAAAACAATCTCATTATCTTTTGTTCAGAAACTAATCAAAGCCATATATTCCTCAGTCAAATCAAACTACATTTATTTTCATAGCACATTTAAAACAACTGTCATTGGCTAAAGTACAGCACACTTTACAAGACAATATAGGAGAGCAYAGAAACAAACAAAATAAAAACAACAAAAAATATAATACAAAAATTTAAACCAATAAAATTCAACTAAATTTCAACTCTTGTGCTGAATTTAAAGTCAGTAAGAACAAAATGTGTTTTAACAAAAGAGTTGAAGCCAGTCTTCTGAGAAAGGAACAGCTGGTTCCAAAATTTAGGAGCTACAACTAAAAATACCAGATCATCTTTATGGACCAGTCTGGACCTGGGGTCAACTAAACACTTGATCATCACTGTAAACTAGTCTGGAACTAGGGACAACTAAAGACTTGATCATCTCCATAAACTAGTCTGGGCCTCAGGACAACTACAGACCCAATCACCTCTGTGACCTTGGAACTAAAATCAAATGATCATCTGGATCTAAGTGTTCTGGAGGACACATAAGGCTGCAGGTCAGACAGGTCTTCAGGAGTCTCTCCATTCAGGTCCTTACAGGTCCTAAATAAAACATTAAAATCAAATCTAAAACAAAACAACGAGCCAATGAAAGAAGCAGCACATAGATATGTTCATGTTTTTATGTTTGTGTTAAAAGAAGAGCTGCACGTTCTAAACTAAATGTAAACCTGAAGGTCAGGTCTGACTAACACTAATAAACAGAAAGTTGCAATCAACTCATTGGTAGGTAATGAAAGTGTGAATTGCCCAGTCATCCAGTGATTCCTGTCTGATCAATAGAATATTTTTAACTGTCTTGTACTGCAGCTGAATGTTGCAGCGACCTCCTGACACAGCTTGATCATATTTATTGAGCTGCAGACGACGCTGAATCAAGCCCCAGAAGGGACTTTTCTAAAAATGACATTTGGCACCTCCGCAGTCAAACAGCTGAGCTACACTACTACCTTTAATGATTATCATCACAGTAATCCTTGTTATTACCAGTAGGGGTATAACAATATCAATATATTGATTAAACGATAATGATTCAGTTACATCTCAGCATAGTAAACATATGCCCAATATGGGTCAATATCATGTCCATCTCTAACACAATCATTTACTAAATCATTGTGTTAGAYGGGCCTAATGATATTGCAGACTTGTGAACTGAATTTAATCAAAATTGTATCATGACAGACTTTGTGATATAGAGAACATTGCATCGTCATCCAGACAAGTCTATATAATATCATGTTGTGATAAAGCTGGTGATTTATACCCCTAATTGCCAGGCYTATATTATCAAATAAGGTTTTTGGTTAATGTGATTACACATGTAAAATGTTTAACTAACATTCATTCATCATTAGCTTTACCCACTTCTTCCATTTCGGGTTGCGGGGATGACTGGTGYCCATGTCGAGCAGTCACTGTGCGATAGGGGTGGGAGATGCCAGGAATTTTGGTATCGATCCAATAGTAAATGCAAAGCTGGTATAGCCGATACTTGTCGTGTTCATTGAATAATTTTATAATTTTGCCTGTAGTTAGTCAATAAAACACAGGGCTTTATACAACAAGCAAATAAAACATATCCAAAATAACAAAAAGAAGGAGCAATGTAACAAAAATATAAATACAGTATAAGAATTTTAGTAAAACAACAAAAATAATTTCCATTGCATGTGGGCCCAACAAAGACAACTAATGACTAACTTCAAACARTYTGGAGACTCTGCACTGCTGACTTTATTTGTGAAAAATAAAGTCAAGCAACAACTCAACCAATTAAGCCACCATGCTGACTTTAACTAACATTTTATTTTAAAAATAGCCACAGTCCTAAGTTGTTTAATTTCATCAAATTATTTTGGCAGCAACAAATAATTCGATTACATTTTTTCATGAGTGCATCTGTGTGTCGACAGGCTGCATGGATGTTCTTCTGATCAGGATGTGTCGGGCCTACAACCCCCACAATAACACGTTGCTCTTCAATGGAAAGTTTGCCACTCCTCAGCTTTTTAAGGCTCTGGGTAAGCCAGCCAAGCACTTTCACATAAATATTTTGTATAAATGTGAAAGTATTTTCAGGTCACCTGAAATTACTGTCCTACTTCTTCGTCAGTTACAGTTACAGTTTTTGTTATTATTATCAGAGACAATCCTTTCATCTTTGGTAACTTTTTTTCCATCTTTTTTTTTCCCATTTTTTTCATCTCCCCCAACATATAAAGGCTGTGACGACTTTGTGAGTGCAGTGTTTGACTTTGCAAAAACTCTGAGCCGTATCCAGATGTCCGAAGAGGAGATGGCCCTCTTCAGTGCTGCTGTGTTGCTGTCACCAGGTGAGATAAAGTTCATGATTGACTTACATCCAGCTTCATTATAAACCAGTGAAACTAGTATTTTATTATTAAACTATCAAACACATGTTTTGACACAACTGTTAAATAAAAAAAGGTGTGTATTAAGGATTCCAGATGCCGCACATGTAAAGCTGCTACMCACATTTGGCGCACATGAACCAAACTGGCCTAATTTTCAGGTAAAACTGGTTTACTGGTACCTGAAAACAAACTTACCAGGAAACATATGCACTGAGGAACAAGGGGTACCAGTTAATATAGATACTGGGGAACATAGGTACCGGGACACATAAGTACCAAGGAACATAGATATCAGGAAACATAGGTACTGGAGAACGTAGGTATCAGGAAACATAGGTACTGGAGAACGTAGGTATTAGAAAACATAGGTACTGGAGAACGTAGGTATTAGAAAACATAGGTACTGGAGAACGTAGGTATTAGAAAACATAGGTACTGGAGATCATAGGTATCAGGAAACATAGGTACTGGAGAACATAGGTATCAGGAAACATAGGTACTGGAGAACATAGCTACCGGGACACATAAGTACTGGGGAACATATGTACCAGGAAATATACAGTAGGTACTGGAGAACATAGATATTAGAAAACATAGGTGCTATTTTTAACAGGTCTCTCTTGAAAATGAGATTCTGGATCTCAATGAGATTACTTGTATAAATAAAGGTCAAATGGAAAAAAAAGAAAACTTTTGTCGCAAATAATCATATAGCTGTATATCATTCAAATTTGACAGTACATTTATAAACTTTCTACAAACTACCATGCATACATGTCAAGTTGTAGCTATGGATTATCCTTAATTTACACAAATTTCCATCATTTTACAGATGAATTTTAGAGCAATCTTGCGGATTTTTTTCAAGTTTTTTGATTTAAAAAAAAAAAAACAGTTTTAAATTTATATAGTATGTCAGAGCCTGTAGGGCAGGGCTATTCAACTGGCCGGATGTGGCCCGTGAGTGACCAAAGTTCGGCCCGCCAATTGGTTCACTCATCTCTTAAGCCCAAACCCCCGGTTTTCTACTTTAATTACTCCAAGTTATTTTAGTTTAACATAGACATGTTTTGTATCTACAGAAACGTCAGAATCTTGACTACAAGCTGGTAAAAACCATTTCTATGAAAATCCAAGACAGTTAATACCACAAGCAGTTGAAGACAGAACTATGAAAGTGAAAATAAAATTGGTTTAAAAATTTGGCAAGTCAGAGATGTCAAAATATTTTGTGGTAAATAAGAGGCATAATGTGTTTTTTTTGTTCAATCATCACTACATTTATTAAATAGGGTTCTCTATGTTTTCATGATTAAATACAGCAAAATAAACTATTTCAAAGGTAACAGATCATTATAATACTTAGTTTATTTACATATCAACTTTAATTGCTGGACGTTCGGCCCCTGAGCTGCTGGTCTGCATTAACTGTGGCCCCCGGAGCAATTTAGTTGAATAGCCCTGCTGTAGCGTGTTAAAAAAAACAATAAATAACATCAAATAACCATCTTCCAACCTGCTCTGTCACAAYAAAACAGTTCTCAAGTTCTCATTTCCTCCTGCTTTGTCATCTCAGCRGCCGACAGTCCGTCTGCACCCCACCCCCACGCTATGGTGGTCACATTCAGGACATAGTCTAAAAGATAGGCTCCCTCACCCATTACTTGCTGGGATAKTCAGATATGTCATTTTCCTGTTTGTTTCCGAAATGAGAGTGGCGTCCTGAGMCTTTTGACTAACCTGGTACAATAATTAACTAAAAGTAGCATGTTTATGAGATTTGTTGAAGTGTWTTTATTTTCTCTATGAACTTTATCTTACTGATGTTAGAATTTCTTTTTACTAGTTAACCTGTGTATTCACAGAAATAGATGACTTGGGTTAGAATACCAGTGTTTTTTTAATTCATGTTGTTAGTAGCAAGTGGTTGCTGATATATAAAACAGGAAAGCTTCATTCTGAAATAGTTTATGGTAACTTATCAAATCTCAGTGAAGAGTTTTGTTTAAAAGGAGATCACTTTCTTCAGGAGKAACCTGTTCTCTTAGTTGATCACACGTAATTAAATGACTTAGYTCAGTTGAGTTTTTTAATCCAGCCTCAGTTCACAACAAAAGTCTTCTCAGGACACGGAACAGAAATATCTCATGATTCACATCTGTAAGGAAAATTTGCATATTCAGCTGTTGGGCATTTCCCTGTACAATGTCGTAAATTTTTTGCACACCTATACAGCTCCGCCTACGAACTGGTTTTAACGAATGGAATCAACCTTAGCTTTGATTTTAAACTGTTGCTGCAGCGCCTGAGGCGACTGGCACACCTTTATTAAGACGAGATTAAACTAAATATACAGTATTGTTGCCTCTGACTTCTCAGAGCTCAGAATTCAGTTCTGTGATTCAAGTTTTTTATGTTTTTATTCAAGTTAGCGTGAAAATGCAAATCCTTAGCAGTCATGCAAAATTAGAATCTATTATAGTTAAAGGGACAGTCTGGTCATTTTTGAAGTGATGTTCTGTCAAATAGTTATCAGTCATTAGTTCTTTGAGTCATGACATCAACGACAGAACATTTAGCATGAAGAAAAGAGCAGAAGTCTCTGTTTAAAGGCTAGACTAATGGCTAGCTAAATGCTATTTWCAGGCTTATAAAACAGCTTTTCTCAAAGAAAGATAATATTAAAGCTTTACACTTTTACACAACACCGTTTGTTTAGTTTGTTGTTGTTTTCTCAACTAAACAATGTCTGTGTTGTGGTGAGATTTTGGTCTCCTGAGACCGCTGAATGTGTCCAAGCAGGACTCTGAAGTCTCACACACAGTTCATGAAGTGCAAATGTCACACTTTGTATTTCTCACGCAGAAACACACACACACCCTTTTTTGAAGAGGAACCAATGTGCAGTGCAATGTTTCCCACATGGCTGCAGTGTTGCCAACTTGGCGACTTTGTCTCTGCTTTTAGTGAGTTTTCAGAACACTCTAGGGACGTTTTTCAAAAAAACAAAAAAAAAGCGACTAGCGACAAATCTTGCAACTTTTTTCTGTTACTGGAGATTTTGGTGATTACATGTGAAAGCACCAAACTGTCCTCAGCATGCAGCGTGTGCTGCCGTTAGCCCCTCCCACTTCCCAGCCACTGACAGCTGGTCAGTCTCACAGCAGCCTTGTGCAGCAAACCCTGCCTGCAGTCAGAGCAGAGAGGAGACCCACTCCACTCTGTGTCCACACTGAAACCGAATCACACATGTGCAAAGCTGGATGTAAATATAATCCCTGCAGTCCCAACCACAGGTAAAGARAGGAGGGTTGAATGTAGACCTAGCAATTCCACAGCACATAACTGTCTTTATAAACATCTATAAAAGATCT